AAATAGCTCCCCTGTAAGTTATATAATTATACGCTATCTGCGCTCATTCATGCCTTTACAAGTGCTATAAATACTGTATACACTGTATAAATACAAGTGCTAATAGGAACTCTTTTTCTGATCATATTAGACTCTTATTTCACTTTTTTACTATTTTCTTTTTGTATTAACTATCTGTTTTATTGTGTTGCACTGTTGGAGGAGCCTGTGGCCTAAGATTTTCATTGTCATAACTACACTGTAGCCATGGGCGTAATTTCTACTGGGGATATGTCAAAATCCCGTTTGTGTCCCCCCCCACTTTTCAAATGTGTTTATTTATTTTTTTACGCAAGCGGTTATCGTCACGGAGGAGCGTCTGTGTGTGTGTGTGTGTGTGTGTGTGTGTGTGTGTGTGTGTGGCACAAGCGCATTTTGTGAGAGAGATAGAAAGACAGAGAGAGAGACAGACAGAGAGAGAGTGAGTTACGAGGGGTTGTTGTTAGCATCTGGTGCTAGCTCGGAGCTAACGGAGATTAGAAGCTGTTTCAAGAATAAGGAGAGGAGAGCTCTTTCCTGTCAGGCTGAGATAACGTCAGCTCAGTGAGCTAAAGGACTCGCTGAGCGATTAGATTAGTAAACTTTAGTCTAAGTTATCTCAGTGGGTCTTAAAGGGAATGGTCATACATGTAAACAAATGTCTCCATCTATTTAATATAGGCCTAGTTGTATAAAATAAGTTAAGAAATCATCCCAATGTGTACTATAGGTCAGTAAACAAATCAAAAACACAGTTTGAAAGGGGAGTGATTAGTAAAATATGCATTTCTAGAAAGAAAGAATGCAGACTAGGTAAGATAAAGATAGGAGAGGGGAGTTGATCAAATATGTGTTATTGGTTGTGAGCATAATGGTTTTTTGATTATTGAAATATATACAGTTCTGTTTCATGAGTGTTGAGAGCTGTATCCATACATCTCTTAAATTAAATCGGGTAATGTTTTAATTGCGGAGAACCCCCTGTTTTGTGTCCTCCCCACTTCTCAAACCAAAGTTACACCCTGGACTGCAGCTATGTACGCATGACCAATAAAAGCCCTGAACCTTGATTTGGTTTAGTAGTTAATTTGATTGTGAATGTCTTTTTTTTTTTGTCTCCGCAGGGAAGGAATCCTTTTTTCCTCGAACCCGCCATCATTATCGCCATCACTGACGGAAACAAGTTGACGAGCGGCGGAGGAGTCCAAGACGAGGTCAGCAAACATCTGGAGTCTGATCACACAGCAATGTTTAATCAACACAAGCATCCATTTCTTGATCAAACCCTCCATGTCTTTGTGGAGGCTAACATGACATTCACACAACAACTTATAAGTTATAGCTAATGTATAAATCACCCCTATAAATCAATGCTATTCGGACTATTTCATATCATCCCCCTCGCAGTAACATAAATCGACTCATCCAAAACAATTAAGGTTAAAGAGGCCCAATTGTGCCTTTTGGGGTTCTCCCTTTACAACAATGTGTGTTATTTAGGTTAACAGTTAATGACATCACTATGTAACACTCGCACTTCTATTGGCTCTGCTCCAACGCATTGTACGTGATAGGCTAAGGGGCGGGGCATCTCTAAGCGGTTGACCAATCAGAGCAGAGCCGGCCAGCTAACCAATCAGAGCAGACTGGGCTCTGGTTTCAGACAGAGGGTGAAAAGAGTTGCTGCAGCACAGACAGTATGAGAAAGATAAAGAGCTTTTTGAACATTAAAGCATTGAGACATGTAGGGATGCATATCGTTGCCTTTTTTTACGATACCGATACCACTGAACGATACCGATACTCGACCGATACATATCGTGATACTTTCATGTTGCATAAGGGAAAAATTGAAGCGCTTTATGATATAGTTAACATGATTTCTTTAGTGGTTTCAGCGGTCCTCCCAGTGACTCAGTAGCCCTTCTTGCCTTTAATTGTTTATTTATTTCAGCCTCTCCATCTGTAAGTGATCATCCATGTTGTATATGTTGTGCTGCTGCTCCCTGTGAGATGGAGAGGTCTCATGTAGTCAGATTTGTAGCTTCAGAAGTAAAACATGGAGGCGGTCAAACACATCCAATGTTAGTCGTTGATTCTGCTGCCACAGTCTAATGTATAGCCTCTGTAACTTGCTTTCAGTCTGGATTTATCGCAGTGACGTTCGGTGGGCAAGTCTGACTTTAATTGCAGCTCTTCTGGTAGTTATTTAAAAGTCACGGCTGCGTAAGACATGTCTGAAAGGAAAATGTTGGATGTCTGTAAAGGGATCACGCTATGACAACACAAGATATTATAACAGTAACATTTAAGCAGACTACAAAAGTTAATTGATGTATAATTACAAATCTCTGGATCTTCTTGTATTCATGATTGCAACCCAGACTTGCTATAACAATTTCATCTTGTAATGGCACATTTTCTCCCATGTTATGCTGTATAAATGTTAGATAATCAGATCTGTTTCTTAGCTAATGAAATACCTAATAAATAAGAACAGGCGCTAGGACTCGTCAATATTCCCCAAACACATCCTGCTCATCAACAGTTGCCAGGTTTCCTTCAGTGGCAACTTTTGTTTTGGATTGTATGAGTCAGCGTTTCATAGCTTTAGTTACATCACATACATATTATTTTATATCGAAGTAACTTCCCCCCCTCAACCACTTTTTACTTTGTAAAACATGCAGCCCATAATAAACACATCTTAAATAATCTAAGTATCTTATCTAGTCATATTATAAGATGGCTGAAAATAGCAACAATATGTTCAGTTGTAGTTACCAAAAGCTGATGCCTCATTGATTCTCTTTCGTTAAAATTACATTTAATTTAGCCGACAATTGATCCAACTAGGCTTTACATAAGTGCAATCAACCATGAAGATACAACCAGCAAGAGTCCTGCAAGAACAATAGCTCTAAAAAGCATGTTCAGTCAAAACAAGCCGGTGTTAATAAAGGGAGAGCCACCTCATTAGAAATAGTAAAGTAAAGTTCATATTTTATTCTCTCGGCATGCTCCACGCTATATTTAGTCGTGTTTCATTGTCACACTGAGCGTCCTTACTCTGCTTTGTGCACATATTTATACATCTGTGTTTAAGATTTATTACAACTGTAACCAAAACTGTATACAAACTTCAACTTCCTCACATATGCAATTTGACACTGTAATTAATATGTGAATATAAGGTCAACTCGTGCACTTTATCTACTCTTTGAAATGTCTGGTTGGATGCAAACTGCATGTTGTGGAGCTATGTGCGATAAGATAAGATACGATGGACCTTTTATTAATCCTGTGGGAACATTCTGTAGTTTAACAGCAACAGGGTTAGGGGGGAAAACAGGACAGAACAGATTCACACAGATTAGAGATGAATACAATTAAAGATCAAATCAAAGATAAAAATACAGTTAAGTTACTTTAAAATGAACATATCATAATAAATAATATGTGCTTTACAAAATGACACATCACAAGTTAAAAATAAACAAGAAATTCCCCTCAGATTATTTGTGAAGAACTTTACAGACCTGTGCATTTGATCAGGTTAAGACTAAGAGGTGTGATAATACAAATACAATAAATCATGGTTTCTCTCTGACAGATAAGACACAAGACGACTGACTCGATGCAACAATATACAATATAAAACAAAGTGAACATATAGATACAACAGAAATAAAAAGATAATTGTAATAAATAATTGTAATAAAGGTTAAACGATTAAGAAATCAAAAAGACCAACGTAAAAAGAAATATTGCTATATATACATATTTGGGTTATAATGATAATAATAATTCATTTATTTTATATAAGCGCCTTTCAAGGCTCTCAAGGTCGCCGTACAAACACACACACAAAAAACAATACATAACACCAGCATAAGAAACATAAACAAGACAATGCAGTATATAAATCAAATAAATAAAACAGAGGATGTGTGATGGATAATGATCAGGGTGGATATGCGAGTGTGAAGTGATATGTTTTGAGACGTGATTTGAAAATGGGGAGAGTCAGTGTTTTGCGGATGTCAGGTGGGAGAGAGTTCCAGATATATAGAGAGGCGAAGTCACGCCCATCTACTTCCGACCCATGGGAACTTATTTCTGAAAAAGTATGTATTGAAGTCAATGGAGAGAGAAAACCTATCTTTCGATCCCGTTTGAATTGTGCCACGAATTACACATATGATGTTTGTCAATCTTAAAAAAGCATTTCCATGTCAAAAAAGTCACAGTTTGTCGTAAAACTGTTGAAATATAAGACTATGAAAAATACGCAACTAGAAAGACTACAAATCCCAGAGTCCCGGTCCCGCATGCTGGCTCTTAGGAACCGACTAACTCCTCTTGTGTGTATGCACAGCTCTCAACGTGCCCAGACTTGGAGTGATTTTCACCTCGTTTAATACTTTCCGCCTCGTTCTGAGAGAAAGAAGTGAGATGTTCCAACGGGACGGCCGTCTTGGTGTGTGGAGCGAGACGGGAGATGTAGTTCATTGAGCGCTTTCACACAAGAAAAAGTGTTACTTCACAGTTTTACGACACATTTGTATTTTTTTGACTTGCAAACTATCTTTTAAATTGACAAACATCATATGTGTAATTCGTGGCACAATTCAAACGGGATCGAAAGATAATCTTTCTCTCGTCATTGACTTCAATGCATACTTTTTCCGAAATAAGGTCCCATGGAGGGAAAGGGAGGGACTTCGCCACTCTATAGTTATATATACACATATTAGATATATACTTTAATCCACATTCTCCTTCCTCCTCCAGCTCCACCTGCCCCTCACCACCCCCCTCCCAGGAAGTGAGCTGACCAAGGAGCCGTTCCGCTGGGACCAGCGCCTGTTCGCTCTGGTGCTGAGGATCCCCGGCCACGCCTCAGTGGAGCCCGAGCCGCAGGGGGGGGTCCCGCCCGACGACTCCCCCATCACCCCCATGTGTGAGGTCACTGGAGGTAGGTGGACTAGCGTAGGAGATGCTTGTTGGTTAACATTTGCAGTGGAAGATGCACTGATTGCTCGGCTTCAGGAGGTGATAACCACTCGTGCAAAAATGTTTGCGTTCAACACTGCGCATGCTAACTGGGCAATACGTGTTCAAAGTGTGCAGTCGCTCAGATGAACAGTTGATGCAGATTAGCATTTTATTAAATTCATCGTAACTAATTTTGTATGAACACACAAGGTGTTTCTCAATGTCGAGTACGCTTGCTTGGTAGCACATGTCTTCCGAGTCACTTGCTTCAGAAGCGAGGCAAGAATCCTTCCTGGCATTCGGAAAACGAAGAGTGGAACAGGCGAGCAAGTGTGCAGGTGTGCGTCATATGAGAGGCCCCGCCTTACATTTTCGGGGAAATTGGTATGTGCGCAAAGCATTGTGGGGATTTTAAGACCGGAGTCTACACATGTGCAGCCTCGAAATTTCGCGCTACGAAGTACGCCGGGCTCGGTAGAATTCCAAGTATGCTGGACATTGGAACAGTCCTTCGGCGGCACTCGATGACGTAGTATGCTTGAAATAGTGGCTCTGGAGCAGCTTTACTCGACATTGAGAAACACCCTCACTCTCTCTTTTCTCCCTTAGTTGCACTTGCTAGTTTAAACACACACAGCTTACCTGGTTTAGTTTATTAAACATCTTAAAATTGTATTTAAAAAATACGCGTAAGCCTAGCAGAGAGTCAACTCCGTCTTAAAAGGCATTGTAATCAATAATATGAAAAAACGGCTGTACTTTGAATTAAAACTACTTGCTAAATCCTTCAAAAGTCATACAAATGCCAGGATATGGGCAAATGGGATGGCTTTGTAAAGTCTTAAAACGTTTTTTTTGATTATTCTCTACCAGTCCTCGCTCGTTAACGTCAAACAGATCTGGACAGCAGAAGAAAATGCACTTTAGATTGTTCTTAAATGTAATTCTCTGAGGCAGTTTCCTCTCAGGCTGCATGAGACCGGGGGAAACCCAGCTTCTGCTTCAACCATCAGACAGCTGGCTTACATAAAGAGAGACAGCTTAGGAAATATTTGTTGATCATGTGTACACCAGAATATTAAATGACTTGTTCACAAAGGACAGCTAATTATTTGTAAATAGAAAACATCCTCGTTCTCTGGGCAGTTCTGTAGCAGAGCCCAGTGGAGCAAGTCTGAGCAGCACCAGATATAAAAGCACATTTGATGATGCTATAAATACAATGAATAAAGAGAATAATGGATCTGGATACCATTTTTTCTGAAAGAACAAACGTAGTGAAGGATCCTCGGCAGCTGTTCCTCACTCAGCATTCAGAGTAGCTCGTGTTTACAGGCGGAGACGCTCGTACAAACACAGCCAGCTCTTATTTAATCACCGAGCAGGTCTGATGGAGCTGAAGGGGTCCAGAGCTTCTCTCAAGAGCCCTTCAGGAGTAACTGTTGATTAATGTTAGAGAACTCAAATGTTCCCCCTTAGTCCACGATTGTACCTTCTAGTTTTAAATAACACAGGGGGTCCGCGGGGTCTTAAAAAGTATTAAAAGTTGATAAATCAATTTAGCGAAAATTAAGGCTATTAAAAAGTATTAAACGGCATTTTCCAAGGTTTTACATTTTGTAGCTTGTTTTCAATAAGTATATGAATTGTCCAAATAGGTTGTATTCTACAGTCTGCCTGAATGTAATCATGGCGTATGTGTGTAGTGTGATTCTGTGTAGTTTATTGATGGCATCCCGTTGGGTTTGACGTCATCTGAACAGGACATCGCACGCTCACTGCTTGATAGCGCGGAGGTCCGTTTACGCCGGTTGCTAAACAACATCGTTATGGGGAAATGCAAGTCTGCGTCCAAATGGTTGGAAGATAAGGAGGAAGGACAATCAATACTGTATATAGTCAATGTGAGGTGAAGTGTGTCGCCAAGGTAACCGGTTAGAAATCCATGTGGCGATGAGGTCTTAAAATGTATGGAAAGGGTCTTAAAGGGTCTTAAAAGGTCTTACATCTGACTTCAGGACTCCTGCAGATACCCTGGTTGTACTTCAATTGACCATGGTTCTGTTTAGGGCTGTGCATCTTCACTGGTCTCACGATTCGATTCGATTACGATTATCCTGTCAACGATTCGATTCAATTCGATATCCCGATGCATCCCGATGCATCACGATTCATACCAATGCGTTGCATCCTCAATTTTCTATATTACTGCACATGGCTTATTTTTCATCAATGCATTCATGCAGTAAATACATATGAACTCTCTTTTTATTATTTAGAAAGTGCTTCAGAAATCAATAACAGAAATGTCTTGACATTAATTTATAAACCAAAATAAATGAATTGTATAGGTCTAGCCTCCCTATATCTGTGTGTGTTCCATCCTCAAAAACAAAAAACTAATGCTTCTGCAGTCTAGCTGCAGCTTCTAGCAACGGTCTTCTGTTAAAAAGGGACACTGAATGTCCTGAATGTGGCATCACACACAGGACTTGAGTCTGAACACACCAGACAACAGGAGTATTTACAACAGCATATAACAACTAAAATACTGCATGTGGGTGCACACTCACATTCTGTCTTACTGTTACATAAATCCCATGAATGTATGAGATTAAGTTAGCTTCATTATATCTCAGTGATTAAGTGAATAATAAAGTTTCTATCGGGTCACTATCAGCCTGTCACTCATTATTTTCAGGGAGGGGTTTGGAGGAACGGAGAGGAGACGGTGATCGCGGAAGCTTTTTTCCTCCTGCCTTCACAAACTTTACACACGTATATATCGTCTGAAAATTGCTAGAGGGCATTCATACTCTGCAATCCAAGACTTAATTAAATCCACCAAAAAGTGCTGTTGGTTCTGGACTGGTGTTCTTGTGTTGGTGGATAAAGCATACTGCTCCGTGTTCGGTGTTGCTGTGTCACTGTCACGTATGTTCCCTGATCTCTGCGTCACCGACCGATTTGATATTCAAGTGACAGAAGAAAAACAACGTTATAGTAAAGCCGCGGCCGGAAAATCAGGAAGCAACGTTACTACGCTATAATCGATTATCTTCCGTCACTGCATCGATACCGAATCGTCCACGTCCGCATCGCAATGCATCGTAGAAACGATTATTTTCAACACCCCTAGTTCTGTTTTATAAAAATAAAAAGGGGCGGGTTGGGGGGATATTCAACAAAAAATATACATAATGACAGTGAAATATGTTTATATCTACAGAGTTTATCACATCACATGTATCACACAAATAATTCAATTTGGTTTTTATAACACTGATTTTATTTTATGTCACATTTTCCTTATAGAGCTAACTTAATACTGCATACAATCGTATTTACTGGTAATATAGGGTGGCTTAAATACAACATATTTTGAGTTCCATACAAAAGCTGATATCTGGTTGCCATTTTTAAAGGTTACTGCTTATTGAAGGAGACTTCTAACACCTCCTGTCTCCTGTCTTCATGCTGCCTGGTTGTGAAAGCAGCTGGCAGGAGGAACACACTAGAATGATACTGATGGCAGGTTAAGATTTAAACACACACACACCCTCACACTCACTCTCACACACTCACAGTGAGAGCAGAGCACACCAAAGCTTCAGTGTGCAGCAGTCAGTGGGGCTGAATGCAGAACATGACACAGCTCCATTGTCACTGACAGTCCACAGTTGATTACTGCTGATGACACAAAGCCACAGCCTTTAGAAATGGCTGAGTGAATGACTGAGTGAATGGCTGCATAACAAGGTCATTGGAGGTGAAGTAAGAGGCAGTAAATGTCCAGAAGGTTGAATTTGTCTAACCAGTTGTAGCTTTGTGCGACAAAGGAGGCGTGTGTGATTCATGGTCGTTGCTCATGTGACCTTCACTGCCCTGTGACTGATGCTGAGACAGATCAGCTGAAGCAGATTCATCAGAGCTTTAGAGCTGCATTCATGCAAATGTTCATATTTGCATGCACGTAATATATCTCCAGTGTAAAGGACGCACACAGCCACATAAAGAATACAGAGTTAGTGAGAGCACTTGAACATGTAGTGTATATAAAGTCATTCAAATGGTATCATCTTTCTTACCCTGGAATATGAAGTGGTTAGTTGAATAGATGTTTGATACATTCAAGGTTAGGTTTTACTTCAGATTTTTCGTTGTAAGTTGAAAAATACTTTGCTTTGATTCTCGAAACTTGTATCTTTTAAGCATGCAGATCATTAAGGTTGTTCTTTATATAAATAATGGCTCTTGGAAGTCCTGATTGGATTAAGTATTTCTTGGCATTCATTCGTGACACTTTAAGGGAACTGTTGGCCTGCCTTTATGTTAAAAAAAAATCCATTGTTATTATATTATCGGAGTTGTTTTGTCTCGCCGGGAACTTTTTTTATTGTGTTTTATTCCACCAACGAGTAGCTATCAAATACCTTTCTTTGCATCATTATTATCTACAATGTCATAGCTTGTAAATACATTTCACACGTCACTGCACCATTGTTATGAAGTCACCTCACTCTACACTTTATATTTAGTAGAATTAGAATGGGAGGGATGAAGCCCTCTTTAATGGTCACACATGCAGTGACATGTGTTCTCTGCTTTTAACCCATCCTAGCACCAGGAGTCTAGCACTAGGAGCAGTGGGCAGCTAGTGTGCAGCGCCCGGGGAGCAATGGGAGTGTGGGGGGGAAGGGGGGTGTCCGGTGCCTTGCTCAAGGGCACCACGACAGGGCAGGAGGTGAACTGGGACCTCTCCAAGTAGAAGTCCACACTCCATATTTAGGTCTGATCGGGGACTTGAACCGGTGACCCTACGGCTCCCATTCCAAGCCCCTACTGACTGAGCCACTGCCGGTCCTAATTTATGCAAATCTTCACATATTCACAGAGTAAATGCAAATGATGCACATGCAGATATTCATCTTGGAGCTTTCCATATCGAGACTTCGTCATCTGTGTTTTAAAACTTGAGTTCTTTACATTTTCATCTGAAAACTCTAAACGATGTGTAATAACTTCGACCACATGTTGTGGAAGTGTTTGCTCACGGTAACAAACACACAGATAATGATCATACAGCTCCGTATTCCCCTCAGCTCCACAGAGCCTTCAGACTCTTATGACTCAATATTTGTTTTTTTGGCTCATTTACTGTGTGATTCAGCCGTAACCCCATCCAGCTGTTTTCTGTTAAATGCTCTGAACGCAACATGCTCTGCTCCAAACAGCCGACAAAGTCAACTCGCTGGTGAAGGAGGTGGAGCTTTTCAATCAGGAGAGACTTCATTTTGTTTAAAGAACATGTATTGACACATGCCAAATGATAAATGTTAAGTCTTTGGCGATTAGACCCCGATCCTGAAATCGTATATCTAAAGGGGGAAATGCAGCCGTGAGCATATGTGACCTGCTCCATCGAAATCAGTCGCATTGACCCGAAGACACATTTTGAGTTGTGTACGCTGTTGGAAAGAGGAGATTCCTAGCTTTCTAATGATATCAGGATTGTTGTTGTACTCCAAATATTAAGCAACATATGTCACATTATATAATGACTGTCACCGAGTCATCGTTTTGAGAAAAAGGCCTTCAAAGTTTCCTCTTCTCTGGAATCCATCGATCTGATTGGTTATTAGCAAATGATCAAAATACTACCGAAGGAAGATATTTTCGTTTGGATTACTGGTCTGGGGGAAGCTCGCGAGTGTGTATGTATATACACGTGTTTGTGTGTATTGTGTTTGTTTCCCGCGGAAAACCCTCTCGAGAAACACCGGCCGTTACTCCGTTCTCCGCTTGTAATTATGCCGAAGCTTCAAAGTTGTATTTATCATCTGCATTTGCCGAAACAAGTTTAATATTCTGAAAGCCAAGACTTTGTTTATTTGAAATCAGATGAAAACAAACTGGAACGGACCCTGCCGTGTTATCTATGATTACTATACGCCTTACATTCATAATTTCAGTTGAGGGAGGGGGAGCGGGTCTCTGGAAGAGCAGATTGCGAGTGAGAGGTGTCCTCTTCCCTTCACAAGCTTCAAAAATGTATTTATCGTGTGATTTTGGAAATAAAAGTTTCATATTCTGAAAGCCAAGTCTTGGTTTGTTTAAAATCAAACAGAAAAAAACGAATCCCGAAAAACTTTTTGTTTTTTTATGCAAATCCACGTTTATTTTGAAATCAGCCGTTGCGACTTCCGACTGATTTCGATAGAGCGGGTCACATATAGGGAACCCCCCCCCCCCCCCAGGGTCTAGACACTGGCGATGATGCTGAAGATCTGGATTTGATGAGGAGATGGGATGAAGAGGGGGTGTGATGAGGTCTTTGGATTAGCTCTCCTGGCACTGCATGTGATGAAAGGAGGTGGATGGGGAGGAGACGGGCGGCAGCATGAACACCTGGAATCACAGCTGACTGCAGGAGAGAGGAGAACCATTTTAAAGTGTGGCTGCAGCACGCTGATTGGCTGCTGGAGATTGAGGTGAAATGTAATGGGTTAAAAAGAAAACCAGTGATGAGCTGATTATAAGCAGCTGCGGAGTGAATGTATTCCAGGGCCGCACGATTTGGAGAAAAAATCTAATTGCGATTTTTCTGACAGATATTGCGATTCGTTTTGCAATATTTGTTTTTAAGCGACCCAACGGAAGTTTATTGTAAAATGCGTCCATATCTCCGGCTAGGAAGGTCGCATCAACGTGCTCCCGTCTCTAGCACCCCCGCAGCCCGAGCTACGAGTGAAAGAACTAAACTTACATGAAACTTCCGTTGGGTTGCTTTAAAGTCAAGCTTCAGTTTAAGATTCACCCTGTGATAGAAACATGTGATGGAGCGTCACTAACCTGACTCAGATGGTTCACCAAACCATCTAGGAAAGCTCCATTGGAAGGCATTTGGAAAGGGCAGGCACTTTCAGAAGCACTTGGCAGGTGATTGGATCAATCTGTCTATCACCTTCTATCATGGGCCACTTCTGATTGGTTAAGAATGGCTGGTACATGTGGAGCACAGCACTTCTGATTGGTGTGGATGACTGACAAAAATAAATAAATATCGATTTGATAATTGCATCATTTCAAAAATCGATGAATCGTTCAGCCCTAATGTATACCAGTCTTCCTGAAAGAACTTGCGCTGAGCTTCATATCGCTTGTAGAGTCATTTGATCTGGATGTGGTGGATCTAAAAAGAGGTTGAAATGACTTTATTTATATAGCACTTTTCAAATGAAATTAAATACATGTTTATTTAGATAGCCCAATATCGCACAACACATTTGTCTCAGTGGGCTTTACAGAGCAACACACATGAAGGACAGTGCTAAAAGATATAACAAAGAAAGAAATAGGAGGAAATATACAATAAACCAATGAAATAGTATACTATAAAATGTAGGGCTCAGTTACAAGTTACAGGACTCAGACAAACAGTTATCCGAAATCAGGTCTTACTGTTATGCTTTAATAAAAGGAAGTCTTCAGCGTACTCTTAAATGTTTGTACACCGTCTGAATACTTGTAAAACCAGGAAGTCTGATTATAGCTCAATTATTACTAAATGTGTTTTTATCCCACAATGAAGCGAACATTGTATTTTTTACATAAATAATGCAGTTTTATAACATAATGTCTTTACATACTGTGTATAAATAAATAGTGTGTGTGTTGCAGGGCGTTCCTACAGCGTGTTCTCCCAGCGGATGTTGAATCAGTGTCTGGAGTCTCTGGTGCAGAAGATCCAGAGCGGAGTGGTGATCAACTTTGAGAAGACGGGGCCGGACCCTCCGCCTTTAGAGGGTGAGAAACCTCTCCGTGTGATTTCATGATATTTTATCCCTGACTGTATTTCCAAAATAACTGCTGCACCGCATCTGTTTGATACGTTGAGAATCTCTGTGCTTTCTCACTTTCTTTTTAAATCCTCTCTGAGCTTTTCTGCTGCTCGTAGAGGTCACTGTTAAAACCCCCACTTTCATACAGTATTTTACACACACACACACGCACACACACACACACACACACACAGTTCTAAACATGTATTAACGCTATGAATAGAAATAACACAAGTAAAGCTCTGATAAGGGACATTCACCTTTTCAGAGTTTAACTTGTGTTATTTTTGTTAATTCTGTTAATACATGTTTATTCTTTTATTTTATGCTTAATATCCCTTTGTATATTCTTATGTGAACTACTTGTTACTTTCTTCTGGGTTTCTGTTGCTGCTATAAGGTCCATCTTAACTTCACATTATAAAATCATTCTGTTGTGTTCCATCCCTCTCAGACAGCTGTGTGTGTGTGTGTGTGTGTGTGTGGTGTGTGTGTGTGTGTGTGTGTGGTGTGTGTGTGTGTGTGTGTGTGTGTGTGTGTGTGTGTGTGTGTGTGTGGGTGTGTGTGTGTGTGTGTGTGTGTGTGTGTGTGTGTGTGGGGTGTGCTGTGTGTGTGTGTGTGTGTGTGTGTGTGTGTGTGTGTGTGTAGTGTGTGTGTGTGTGTGTGTGTGTGTGTGATGTGTGTGTGTGTGTGTGTGTGTGTGTGTGTGTGTGTGTGTGTGTGTGTGTGTGTGTGTGTGTGTGTGTGTGTGTGTGTGTGTGTGTGTGTGTGTGTGTGTGTGTGTGTGTGTGTGTGTGTGTCTAAATGTATTAACAAAAAGATGTCCAGATCAGATGTATAGATGTTTGTTTATAGGTACATGTTGACTAGTTCTGATACATAGAGTACACATATAACATTAATTAAGTGCGTTCTTGGAAATTAAAGGATTTAATTGGAGTGACCCCATCGTTCTTCAGTAAATATCGAAAACAAAAAGTATTCATTTTTGTGTGTGTAGATGCTCCGGTGGAGGCAATATCGAAGTCCGGTCTGCAGCCTTGGCACTGTTGCCACAAGCTGATCTACGTACGGCCCAACCCAAAAACCGGGGTCCCCATCGGTCACTGGCCCATCCCCGAGGCCTTCTGGCCAGACCAGAACTCCCCCACGCTGGTGAGAAACCTCCCTGACCCAGATAAAATGGATTCAAAGGAATGTTATCAGTGACGATATCATTTTTTTCATTAAGTTGGATAATCTATGGCTCCAGATCTTCAGCTAGGTTAGATACAGGTTGTGTGGTGTTTTCTTTTCTGTAAGACACTTGTGAAGGGAATCAACAAAGCATAAATATAAATAATAAAAAAGGAAGGCTTGACCATGCATCTTTGACATTTTGATCTTCCAGCCCCCCCGCTCAGCACACCCTCACGTCCGTTTCTCCTGCCTGGACTCGGAGCCCATGGTGATCGATAAGGTGCCGTTCGACAAATACGAGCTGGAGCCGTCGCCTCTCACTCAGTTCATCCTGGAGAGGAAGTCCCCGCACACCTGCTGGCAGGTAAACACCCGCACAACAACACCACTACATAATAATGCTTCTGGGAAACGACTGAAACATTAAAGTTGAGATCCATAAAACTTTGGAACGGGTCTTGCTGTTATCAGAATTCCTTTATTTGTCCCGGGAAGTTTACATTATTACAACAGCAGAAGTATAGTGCAGATAAAGTGAAGAGAATAGACTGCATATTCAAAAAATAACCAAGTATACATGCATTAAGGCTTGGTGGCGATGTCCATAGGGACTTGGCTTGGCAACTGGAAGGTGACCAGTTCAAGTCCCGGAAAGACCAAGTGCTACCGAGGTGTCACTGAGCAAGGCACCGTTCCCTACATGGCTCCCCGGGCGCCGTTCAAAATGGCAGCACACTGCTCCTAACACTAGGATGGGTCAAATGCAGAGAAACCGTTTTGTTACATAGTACCTGTACTACGTAATGACAATAAGTTGAATCTTCAATCTTCTTATTATTAATAAAAAAACAATAAGTAAAAAAGCAAATGGCAAATTAAGAGAACAAATTAAACGTGAATTGCACGAGGGTATATTGCACATGAAGCAGGGACCAGAAAGTAGAGCATTTCAATAACAAACAATGTTTCCACATTTAAATGATTTTCTCTTGTGTATTCTAGGTGTTTGTGTGTAACAGTGCCAAGTACAGTGACCTGGGCCAACCCTGCGGATACTTGAAGGCCAGCACGGCTCTGAACTGTGTCAACCTGTTTGTGATGCCCTATAATTACCCCGTGCTGCTGCCACTGCTGGGTAAGACCGACGGATCCACGCCACACTGTCACCGTCAACACTTGCTGATAAAGCCCCATTGTGATTGTTCAGGGGGTCCGCAGGGTCTTAAAAAGTATTAAAAGTTGATAAATCAATTTAGTGGAAATTAAGGCTATTAAAATGTAATAAACAGCATTTTCCAAGGTATTACATTCTGTAGCTTGTTTTCAATAAGTATATAAATGGTCCAAAGAGGTTGTATTCTACAGTCTGCCTGAATGTAATCATGGCGTAGGTGTGTAGTGTGATTCTGTGTAGTTTATTGATGGCATCCCGTTGGATTTGACGTCATCTGAACAGGACATCGCACGCTCACTGCTTGATAGCGCGAAGCTCCGTTTACGCCGGTTGTTAAACAACATCGTTATGGGGAAATGCAAGTCTGCGTCCAAATGGTTGGAAGATAAGGAGGAAGGACAATCAATACTGTATATAGTCAATGTGAGGTCAAGTGTGTCGCCAAGGTAACCGGTTAGAACTCAAAGTGGCGATGAGGTCTTAGAATGTATGGAAAGGGTCTTTAAAAAGGTCTTAAAAGGTCTTATATCTGACTTCAGGACTCCTGCATATACCCTGTTGTAACATCTATGAGGAAGTAAAGTAGCACCATGTTATTTTTGTTATTCAGTTCTGTGACATTTGCTTTTTGTGTCATGCATTCCTCAGCTCCTCTAAACAAACTTGATCATATGTGCTGCTATATAAAGCAGGTGGGGTTTCACGAGGCACTTATATTTCTTATATTTCTCTCTCGGTTTTTGAGAGTCCTCCCCAGATTATCACTGTTAGCTCTGTTCTAAATTACAACACCGTTAGATACTACTCGCCTACACAGCACCCAAAGAAGCATCACACGGCCTCTTTAAGCACCTTTTTCAATTTGGGGCAGGCTTCGGAGATATAGAGCAGTGTTCATTTTGGCAGCTATTTTTGATTTAGTCTTAAGACGAAAATAGTTATTAGTTTTAGTCACATTTTAGTCCTTTTTATCCTTCAAAATGTTTTCTCTCTTTAAACTAATTCAGTTAGGCAAATACAGGAATCTGAAATTGGAATCAAGGTGACAGTATCAAGTGTTGAAATTCGTAAAGCAACATTTCACTCTTTTAACACTTTACTTGTGGAATATCTAGGGATGGGGTATCGTTAAGGTTTTTAACGGTACTACTACTCTTAAAAATGTGTCTGCACGCCGCTGCAGCGTGTCTGTTAGGCCCCACCTCCCGCACACAGACGAGACCCAGGGAGATCGCTCTTCTGGAGTGAAGAGAGCGGAAATAATGATATTGCAAGTTAGAAACGTAAGATGCATTTTGACAGACAAGATGGACACTTGGGGGAAAATACCCTGCATTTTGAATGTCCGATAGTCCACCATTAACACCTTAGTCTCGTCAACGAAAACAAAATATACATTTCGTCATAGTTTTTATTATCAAGAATCTATTTTTAGCTCGTCATCGCCTCGTCTTAGTTGTGTAAAAAAGGTCGTTGACGAACATTTTTCGTCATAGTTTTCGTTGACGAAATTAACACTGATAAAGAGTAATGTGAAGTCACTCTCTTGTACAACATGTAGCCTCGTCTAAAGTTCTTTTTGGGGGTAAAATCATGTTCATGTCTTGGATTTCTTTCTTGCAGATGACTTGATCAAAGTGCACAAGTTCAAGCCGACCATCAAATGGCGACAGTCCTTTGAGAACTACCTGAAGACCATGCCTCCATATTACATCGGGGTCAGTGGACTTCAGCTCCTCGTTCTCCAGCTCTTTAAGATTTATTTTAATATTTGATCGATGCTAAAAGCTGCTGAACTGGTCTCATGGCTGTTGTTCTCTCCACAGTCCCTAAGGAAAGCCCTGAGGATTATGGGAGCGCCAAACCTTCTGGCCGACAACATGGAGTACGGGCTGAGCTACAGCGTGGTCTCCTACCTGAAGAAGCTCAGCCAGCAGGTGAGGAGTCAGGATGTTGTGTCTCGCTACCTTTGGGCACACAAGTCAGTCTGTGTCTGTTATCCTGACGAATCATATTCCTCCGTGTCTTTGAGCTCCGTTATTTTTCTAATAACTTTAGGCTCTGTTTTACATTTTAGTTTAACATAAACTGTCCTGCTGGCATAATTACTCATCAGTGCACCAGAATGAAAAGCTTCATATAGTCTGAATGCATTATTTACTCCTATTTAAATATGTTTTTATGAAATACAGGTCCTTTTTTAACTATTCAGTTTAACACATTTTTGAGGCAAATAGTCGAGTAACAAGTCAGATTTTTATTTTTGGTTACATATTTTTACAATATATATATATATATATATATATAATTATATATATATATATAGAGAGTTTTCAATTGGAGCTTAAAGGGGACCTATCATGCAAAATGCACTTTTTTATGTGTTTTATACATAAACATGTGTCCCCGGTGTGTCAGGGAACTCACGCAGCGTCAGGAAACAAAACCCTCTCTCTTTTCCTCCGTACCCAAAGCTCTAAAAACGGGGAACAACGGAGCTGATCCAGATTTGCGTCCGATATGACGTAATATCTGAAATGTGGACCCACGGGCCAATCAGAAACGTTGCTATCAGAAACAATGCCCGACTGTTTTGGACGTAATATGGTCGGTGTTTACATTAGCATCGCTAACACTCAGAGCTAACCTGTACTGGAGAGCATGTGTGTGAAGAAGCAGGAAGTAAAAAGGAACTCGCCTTGTGGTATAACCGGCAAGAGAGAAAGCCTTTGAGCTCCAGACTGTTTCAGAGAGAACCCTTGATAATCCATGATATGGCGTTTCATCACGGCAGCATTTAGTTTAGACGGTAGCTGCCGGGTCCCGCGTGAGCTCAGACCCTCCTTTTTTTTTTTTAATCTTTTTTTTTTTTTTTTTAAGCTTTTTCCCAAAATCAGCACTTTAGAAACAGGAAGTGAAATAGAGGGATATGAGGCATGGCTAGAATGGGTGATCTGTTTGGTATTTTGAGCAAAACACTTCATAGACATGTTTTTGATATATTTTGATATATCTGAGACCTATGCTATCGCCTAGAAATAGCATGTTAGGTGCACTTTAAGTTTGTTACTTGTATGCCTAGTTGTATAGTAATTATTATGATAATTAAATAACCTTTAATTCATATTAAAAAGCTGTCACAGCAGCATGTAAACAAGGCATTGCACATGAATTATAAATTGGATGGTAAAATGGTAAAGAATATAGATATTGACAGTGAAAGATGTATATGTATAGAGTATCTCTATACAGTATTGACATCACTGTCACTATGATTGCATTATGTTCAACAATCTAGAAATGTATCAAATTATAGATAACATTATACATTTGATCAACTTATGGGTACCAAAGATTCTATATCGTCTCTATATCCAAAAGGATACCCAACCTAGTGTGCCATGTTTTATTTAGTTCAATTCAATAATTAGGAGACTGTGTTCAAAATGCACCCAGTCATATAACTCGTTTTCTCACACTTCCAGTCGAAAATCGAGTACGACCGGCTGATTGCGCTGATCGGTAAGAAGCAGCCTCCGGAGGCCGGCATGAAGGTGCGCTGGCGGGGGGGCGGCGGCGTGTCTCAGGCCCAGCGCAGGGACTTCATCCAGCAGCTGCAGAGCCTCTCTGGGGAGGGGCCGCCGATGCCCCTGGAGCTCAACAGAAAAGAGTTCCAGGGCTTCGAGCTGGCGCTGCTCAACAAGGTAAGGTTTAAGTTATTTTAAAGGTCACCTGTTATGCAAAATCCTCTTCTTCATGTCTCTTCTACATCAACATGTGTCCCCTCTTCTTCATGTCTCTTCTACATCAACATGTGTCCCCTCTTCTCCATGTCTCTTCTACATCAACATGTGTCCCCTCTTCTTCATGTCTCTTCTACATCAACATGTGTCCCCTCTTCCTCATGTCTCTTCTACATCAACATGTGTCCCCTCTTCTTCATGTCTCTTCTACATCAACATGTGTCCCCTCTTCTTCATGTCTCTTCTACATCAACATGTGTCCCCTCTTCCTCATGTCTCTTCTACATCAACATGTGTCCCCTCTTCTTCATGTCTCTTCTACATCAACATGTCTCCCCTCTTCTTCATGTCTCTTCTACATCAACATGTGTCCCCTCTTCTCCATGTCTCTTCTACATCAACATGTGTTCCCTCTTCTTCATGTCTCTTCTACATCAACATGTGTCCCCTCTTCTTCATGTCTCTTCTACATCACCATGTGTCCCCTCTGTGGAAAGAGACTCTGAAAGTTTCAGGAACAAAGATTCTCTCTCTTTTTGATCCATTTCTATAAAAACCTGTCTGAAAATGAGCTGATCAGATTTTGGCCACTTTATGATGTCATCAAGATGTTTTGTCTTGTGTAACCATTAGCCAATCAGCAACCAAGGTAACCCCCCCCCCCCCTTATCACCTGAATCTCCTCCTAGAGCTCCATTGTGTTCTTTGTAACCAAATGTCTCTCAGAGGGGCGTGGGGAGGGGCTCCTTATTTTCATCTACAGTAACAGACAGAGAATCAGCACTTTGGAAGCAGGGCTGAAACAGAGGGGATTATGGGTAATGCTGCAATGATCTGTTTGGTGTTTGGAGCCAAACACTTCAGAGACATGTTTGTATATATCTGAGACCTGTAAGATATTGATGAAAAACAGTATGATAGGGGACCTTTTTAAAGAATGTTCCCACTGCAAATAAAGCCTTTTTATCTGAGGAAACAATGTTGTTCTCCTCAGGGTTTGAAGCCGCAGAGCTTCAGGAACCCGTACGACATCCCGCGCAGCCACCTGCTGGACCAGCTGAGCCGCATGAGGAGGAACCTGCTGAACACCACCGTGTGCACGCTCCGAGGGCACGACTCCGGTTAGTCACTCTCATTCTCACACTCACTGAACAGATGTCATTATACTGCTCCATTACTCTTTGTTACCACACCCAAATCTGATGTCAGCAAGAAAAGTTCAACATCTCACTGAATGTCAAGAAAGGAAGGATATTTTCAGCTAGTGTCAAATGACTCTTTAAGGCGAGACACTACACACAAATACATTTTTAATGCAGTGGTTGAGTTTGAATGAGTTTGAGCTAGTTTGATTCTACATAATGTCAGACAAGTGGAAAGAAAACATCCCAAATTCACTGTTAAGTTGTTAATTATACTACATTTTGTAGAGCAGTTTGTGAGTTTATTTTAAACAACGTGTCCTAATGTGAGTCATCAACTGGAAAAGTTTCAAGTTGAATTGTTATGGGTAAGATATTGACCCTAATCACCTGTAGTTTCTCCCCTCAAAAGCAAAAAGTCTACATTTCTCTCTTTCTCTTTGAATGTCCAGACCAGCTCCACAGCGTGCCGATCGCCCAGATGGGAAACTACCAGGACTTCCTGAAAGCCGCTCCTCAGCCGCTCCGAGACGCAGACCCCGAGCAGCCCAAGCGCCAGCACACCTTCGGAAACCCCTTCAAACTGGACAAGAAGGTAAAACATCAGCACTAAAATATCGTTTTTCATGACGACTCAGGTCTTCAAAGTCAACTTTATTGTCAATCTTCCAGTTTGTGTGTACAGAAACATGTACTTCTCACACAAGTACATGTTTACATCCAACTGCACTTATATTCTACCTCACACCGTTTTTATAGAACACATCATTATTTCTACTTATTGACTTGTTTACATTTTGTACTGTCTTGACCGTATTGTTCTTGTATTGTTTTGTAAGCGTACTGTTCAATGTATCATAGGTCCAATTTATAGTCACTTAACATATTATATATGAAAAGTTTTAGCTTGTATTGTCAAAATGATACTCATACTGTCTGTTATGTGTGATCGCACCATCGGGAATGCTTGGAATTTCGCTGTACTCTGTGTCGTGACACTAAAGGAATCCAATCTAAGTAACAGACCAAGTCATGATTTGAGGAACATGTAAACTGACCCCTCCCCCCCCCCCTCACAGGGCATGATGATCGACGAGGCGGATGAGTTTGTGACGGGCCCTCAGAACAAAGGGAAGCGACCGGGAGACAGCAGCAACATGACGGGCGGCGGGCCGAAGAGACGGCGCTGCATGTCTCCTCTGCTGCGCCTCGGCAGAGCCTACACCCCCCCCGTAACCCCGCCCGCCAGCCCCCGACCAACAGGTAGGATTGATTAAAGCATTTTCAACTAAACGATAAATGGGGCGAAGCCTGCGAGCTAGTTCAGGCAGTCAACTCGAGCACCAATCATACATTAACACGTGACGCGCCTCGTCCCTCTTACAACCAACCAATCACATTCTCCTAAACATGCCGCTCTGTTTAAGTTGCTTTCAGAAAAGTGGTTGTATGTGTATTGTGCAAAAAATGAAAATGATGGAGTCTTAAAACAGGCACTTTTCAAACAAACTTGTCGTTTTCAGCAAAAGTCTCATCATCCCACCTAAATGAATGTTTTGTGCTAAACACGTTATTTTCTCTGACCCTGCAGACGTGGACATGAGTGACGGAGTGTCTGAACCGGAACTGATCATCAACCACCTGAATCAGAACCACTACAGCTCAGACGAGAGCTCGGACTCGGAGGCGGACCTTCCCTCGGGGCCCGCCGGCCTCCAGGAGAACCACACGCTGGCCTCAGAGGAACAAGAGGAACAAGAGGAACAAGAGGAACACGAGGAGCACGAGGAGCACGAGGAGAACGAGGAGATCCAGGAGCTCCAGCATGGGGATGAGGAGGAGAACGGAGAGCCCGGGGAAGGGGATCTGGTGCTGGACGAAGAGGACGGAGCGGAGCTGGTGATGATGGACGACGACCAGCCGTCACGATACCTGTCGCCCACCGCTCTGAAGAAGCACATTCACATAGAGACCACGAAGGTCAACAACGAGCTGAGGACGCTCATCTACAAGGAGATCAGGAAACCCGGCAGACGTAAGTAGACGAGCTAAATCTGTGGAGGGGTGCTCAAATAAAAGAACAGTTTATTGTCTTATTGGGGATGATTGTTCTCATACATATGCTTCAGATACACAAATATGTGAATAAAGACAATAGACGAAGGTAAAGAAGCTAAAGCACCTTAGATTTGGTCAATAAATGATATCCTTCGGGACTTCAGCTTTCCTGGAAAACACTGCAATAATTAAGAGACGATTCTAATGTTTTCTCTTTCCTTTGCAGACTACGAGAAGATCTTCCTCCTCCTGAAGCAGATCCAGGGCACTCTGGACACCCGGCTCATCTTCCTCCAAAACATCATCAAAGAGGCAGCCAGGTAGTGTGTGTGTGTGTGTGTGTGTGTGTGTGTGTGTGTGTGTGTGTGTGTGTGTGTGTGTGTGTGTGTGTGTGTGTGTGTGTGTGTGTGTGTGTGTGTGTGTGTGTGTGTGTGTGTGTGTGTGTGTGTGTGTGTGTGTGTGTGTGTGTGTGTGTGTGTGTGTGTGTGTGTGTGTGTGTGTGTGTGTGTGTGTGTGTGTGTGTGTGTGTGTGTGTGTGTGTGTGTGTGTGTGTGTGTGTGTGTGTGTGTGTGTGTGTGTGTGTGTGTGTGTGTGTGTGTGTGTGTGTGTGTGTGTGTGTGTGTGTGTGTGTGTGTGTGTGTGTGTGTGTGTGTGTGTGGTGTGTGTGTGTGTGTGTGTGTGTGTGTGTGTGTGTGTGTGTGTGTGTGTGTGTGTGTGTGTGTGTGTGTGTGTGTGTGTGTGTGTGTGTGTGTGTGTGTGTGTGTGTGTGTGTGTGTGTGTGTGTGTGTGTGTGTGTGTGTGTGTGTGTGTGTGTGTGTGTGTGTGCCTAACCCTATCTTGACCTTCACTGTCACACGGAATAGCCCTAACAGCCTGATCGTGTCCCTTCTGCCCATAAAATGTTTTGGTGTCCATTTCCTGTAAATATCAGTAGATGGTAAAGTAAAAACATTGACTAGGTTTATCATTTTACAGCTGAGCACATTTGCACACTTGCATGATATTGCCTGGAAAAAAGTGGTCTAAGTTCTCACACTGGCCCTCTAAATATGTTGCCCTGAGGCAACGAACAAAAAAACATAGTTTTAGCAAATTAATAAATACATAATAAGTCTTTAAACAATCAAATATACTTATTTTGAAATGTATCTTACCAAGTGGTGGCCCTGAGTCCCCTGCATCTTTGCTTGCAGAAAGGACTGCTCCACCCCCAGACAAAATGCCACACCCATATCATTCTCTCATTTTATTGGACACCAGCATGTCAGGTGACATTGTGTATATTTAAAAATATATATATATTTAGAGGGCCAGTGTGAGGTTGAAAAAAGTGGTTTGTTGCCTGAGGGCAACAGTATGCCATAGAGGGTTAAGACTATATAAATATATAATGCATATAAAATAATGTATATACGCTGAATTGCTGAAATGTAATGTGTAAGAAGAAAGTGAAGAATTTAGATTGAAATGATACATGAACACTGGGGGCTTGAATGTTTGATGAGAGAAGAAAATAAAGTAAAAAGGCTTGGAAAAGCAGCAGAATATTTGAACTGCAAACTTTTGAACTAACTTGATGGCGAATGATATGTCGCCATGGCAACGGCATTTGATGACACCCCATAATACGCTTAGATGTGTTGATGGCTGCATCGTTACCAAACCTGTGAAGTTTTGGGCCGTTTGGAGCATTTTCACAGAAGTGATGAGAAAACCGTGTTTCATGGCGAGCATTGTCTTGCCATGGCAACGGCATTTGAAGAAATCTCAAAACTGTCCCGTAGATATATTCACGGCTGGACTGTTGGCACACATGTGAAGTTTGAGCACTTTTTGAACATTTTCATAGGAGTTATAGCGACATCGCGTTTTATGGCGAGGGATGCGTTTCCATGGAAACGGCATATGGTGAGATCTCAGATTTGGCGTAGAGCTGTTGAGGCATGGACCGGTGATATACAAGTGAAGATTGGGAGACGATTGGACCGTGTCCATTGGACTTACAGCGACATCGTGTTTCATGGCGAGTGGTCTGTCGCCATGGCAACGGCATTTGATGACACCCATAATACGCTTAGATGCGTTGATGGCTGCATTGTTACCAAACCTGTGAAGTTTTGGGCCGTTTGGAGCATTTTCACTGAAGTTATGAGAAAACTGTGTTTCATGGCGAGCATTGTGTTGCCATGGCAACGGCATTTGGAGAAATCTCAAAACTGTCCCGTAGATGTCTTCACGGCTGGACTGTTAGCACACATGTGAAGTTCGAGCACTTTTTGAACATTTTCATAGGAGTTAATGTATAGCGACATCGTCTTTTATGGCAAGGGATGCGTTTCCATGGAAACGGCATATGATGATGATACCCCATAATTGACGTAGAGCTGTTGAGGGCAGGACCATTAACCATTATCTGAAGTTCGCTGCTCTGAGCATGTCAGTTGGAGTTATGACATCATCGTGTTCCATGACACAGGTGTTTATAGTTGAGCTAACGAGGTGTCCAGAGATCAGAGGTTTCCATTGTTCTGAATGAGAGATAAACTTCTTACATGTGAACGTTTTGTGGAAGAACCGTAACAGATATCGGTGAAATCTCAAGGTCCTCATCTCAAGGACCTTGAGTATCTGAAGTGTGCTTTTTGTGTACTAAATCGATTAACTAAAGGTGTGCGGCTGCTGCTGTGAGGAAATATCAGCCTGAAATTACAATGGGCTTTAATGGCGACATGTTGAAAGTTTTTGTCACTTCATGCCCTCAAGAGGCATTTTGTTTAATTATTTTTTGCTTAATTATTTGTCATTTTTCAAGCTACAAGATGTTTTCCTACATTTGTCATGAAAGATTATGTCTCAGGAATGTAGGGTTTGGGAATTATGGCAGTTTTAAAAAACAATATGAAGGCAAAATTCAAGATTTCCTACCCTCTAGCTGTGACATCACGCACTCTAGTTAATGTTAAAATGTGAAGAAAACCTCTAAAACAAGGTCTGAAGAATGTTTAATATCTCTAAAAGTAAGAATCAGATTTAAAAGTTGTGTTACACGAATAATGTCAGAAAGATGTGTAACATTTTAAAGTTGGAATGAGGTTTCTGAGTGAAAGTATGAATGAACAGTTAGCAGTTGAAGTCGCATGAAGATTTGTTGAAGTCTGAAGATTTTCTCCATTGACTTCAATAATTAAAAATGTGATGTATTATGGGATGTATTTCTGGAATCATGAAAGTTATGAATGATAAAAGTAATAGCACTCGATTCCGGACCGAGCTGAACGTTTTGATGTTTGAACAGAGTTTCTGCGATGTTCTATGCGGGAGGAGAAGACCGGCAAAATAAGGGGTGGAATAAAATTAAAGAATTTCGTGCGAAGAAGAACAGATAGTAAAATTAACTATGTCTGAAAGCAGAAGTCTAGGGCAAATGATTGCATCATTCAGTGCTCTTGTCACAAAACAAGATGCATTGTGGGACATGTAGTTTATGGGCAACGTGCCCCTGTAAAGTGGTATGTAACTGAATAATACACTTTTTATATTCTTTGCATGCTCTTGCCGGATTTGGCCCCCGGGCCTTGAGTTGGACACCCCTGACTTAGAGACTTGAACTGTAGATCCTAAATCTCTCTATTCTAGTTCTATATCCTTGTTTGTTTATTTTGTTTAATTTCTTCACCCTACCTTTTAATTGCTTCAGAATTCAGAGATTAACATTTTATTTGTAACCGTTTGTTCCTCACTTCAGGTTCAAGAAGCGCGTTCTCATCGAGCAGCTGGAGAACTTCCTGGAAGAGATCCACACCAGATCCATGAACATGAACCATGTGGACACACTCTGAGACCGATCATTCCCAAAACTGAACTCTCTGATGATGAACCCTCCACTTCCCCAACGGAGACGAGACGAGGCATCCAGCTCCGGTCGCGTACGTTTGCACAGTTTGACCCAAAGTCAGTGTTGACCCTGGAGGATGCATTGAGCGTTTTTCAGGGGGAATGAGGAAGCATTTTATCGCTACAGGTGAAGTGTTGGTCTACTCAAGTGAGGTTTTCGGCCTGCAGAACATTTGAGGATGTTGTCTGATCTCCGAACCCATCCTGAGTCAGCCCATTTTAGATGTTCCTCATTTTAAAAAGGAGGAGATGGATTAAACGAGGGCAGTGCAGGACTTTTCTGCAGAAGAGCAGATGTTGACTTTTATTTATGATGATGTGATTGTGTAGGAAGGGTTCAGGTTGTGTGTCGGTAACTCAGGGTCAAACGGGATCCGGCGGAGATGCTCATAAAAACATTCATTTGCTAATTTTTCCTCTTCTTGTTAGGACGGGTTGTTTGTGGGAGGGATGAGTCTTGTTGTTCCGTTTGTTTGAAAATGAACTTTCTACACTCCACTAACTGAAGCACTCCAATGCGACGCTCTTATAGGAGTATGACTCGACTCAAGTAATGAATTTGTCAACTACTTACCAGACTGACAATTGATATTATTGAGCAGTAACTTAAGGAATTGTATCTGGAAACTTAAAAAAATATAATTGTTTTTTGCAATACAGGTTTTATGAGAGATCAACACAAAGTTAAAATCACTTTCAATGATCCGACATCATTGGTTACAAATGTTGAAATACAGGGACAAAAAGCTCAGGAACTAACACGAACGCATCCTAATCAGCAATAACATTGGAGCTAGTTTCCCCCCCCCCCCCCCCCCCTCCATTGTTATCTTAATTTAAAACCTGAAACTGTTCCCTGAGTGTTGATGAAGCGAGGTCTCGGATGCCAGCTTTTCCCAACGTGCTGGTCGTTGCCAAATAACTTAACCCCCCCCCCCCCCCACCATGAATCTCAAATCAACTTCTTGGCACTTAACCGTGAATGCACTTGTGTACATTTGAGAATGTTTATTTATGGTAATTTAAAAAGAAATTAGAAGTTTTTCGAGAATTCTTTGTCCAATTTTCTCAAATATACACAAATAATCTGTATTAAGAGGTCAAGGGTTGATTTCCTGATTCTGAGTGCAGCCCTCTTCTGTTCCCTCCCTCCTCGCACAGGGACCAAATCTGCCATACTTGTCTTTGTTTGTGAAGAGGCCGCTACCAAAAGAGTATTTTGAATACACTGTAAAGATGTAAATAACCCTAGAGTACTATTTAAAGAGAATGTTCAGTGGAAAATGGCCTTTTTGTAAGTATTTCCATGAATAAAGTTTCTATTTTACACTGTGAAGGGCCATGTAAATAAAGTGTTCAGTAAATGTGACTTTGTGTTTTTTTTTCACGTTTGTCACCAGAAAAAAAGCCTTTTTTTAGTTCACAATGACCAGGGGGTCAGCGGGGTCTTAACAAGTATTAAAAGTTGATAAATCAATTTAGCGAAAATGAAGGCTATTAAAAAGTATTAAATGGCATTTTCCAAGGTGTTACATGTTATAGCTTGTTTTCAATAAGTATCTAAATGGTCCAAAGAGGTTGTATTCTACAGTCTGCCTGAATGTAATCATGGCGTAGGTGTGTAGTGTGATTCTGTGTAGTTTATTGATGGCATCCCGTTGGGTTTGACGTCATCTGAACAGGACATCGCACGCTCACTGCTTGATAGCGCGAAGCTCCGTTTACGCCGGTTGTTAAACAACATCGTTATGGGGAAATGCAAGTCTGCGTCCAAATGGTTGGAAGATAAGGAGGAAGGACCATCAATACTGTATATAGTCAATGTGAGGTAAAGTGTGTCGCCAAGGTAACCGGTTAGAACTCAAAGTGGCGATGAGGTCTTAAAATGTATGGAAAGGATCTTAAGAGGTCTTACATCTGACTTCAGGACTCCTGCATATACCCTGGTGACGGAAGAAAGGACCAAAACACCCTCTGAGTAAAAACATGTATTAAAATTTTATTTACAGACATGTACAAAAATATTATCCCTCTTCCTGAAGTGTCCGTGGCGTGGACCTAACCGTTGGTCCACAAATAAATACCAGTAGTGTGTGTGAGATTCTTAGGGTGTTTGGTCCGCTGGGTTCATCACTCGGCCCATAAACAAGATGGATCCTGAAACAGAACACACAACACAGGTTTGCATTTATTCGCTTTAAAGAATCTTTGTCTTCTTAAAAGACACTTTGTGAAGAATATTTGCGATTGTAAAAGAGGCCCTACTATACTTTTGGGGGGGTTTCCCTTTTGTGTAATGTGTTGTACGTATGTAAATCTGGGGTGTCAAACTCAAACACACAGTGGGCCAACATTAAAAAATGGGTACTAGTCGAGGGCCGGACTGGTTCAATGTTTATTGCAGAACGTATTGAAATGAACTTATTGCACATATTAAACCTGGAACTAACAAAGCCTAAACCAGGGCTATTCAATTAGCGGCCCGCGGGCCAAATCCGGCCCCGGGGTGATATTTAATGGCCCTTTGAGTATAATGTTAAAAAGTAATCTACTTTTCTTTTTTATTTGTTTTAGTTTGTTTTTGGGCCAGAGTGACTTTACTCCAGAGGGGAAGACATTGCCTGAAAACTTCTGCGGGCTCGGGTTTCGAACCCACCTACTAGCTACTGTAGTGACAACTCCTGTCGTTTATTGCATCTCTGTGTGAATGATTAGATAATTTCAGATGAAATGATGTTGATGGTTAAATCAGCTTCACATGTCGGCCTACTGAGTTCTGAACTTGCCATTTAGATCTAGAAAGGCCTTGGGGCTATGTTGTTTGATTGAATTAAACACACTCTATGCACTGCACTATGCTGTTGTAGTATGTACTGCATCTGAAGCTCTTAATATGATTGCTCATATTTCAAGCCATCTTTTTCCCGGCCCCTTGCTTTGGATCATTTTCATCAACCGGCCCCATTCCAAACTAATTGAATAGCCCTGGCTTAAACTATTGCCTATAAAAACAACATTAAACATTAAATAATCAGTTGCATTCATTTCTTATGGCTCTATCTGCAGCTTTTCAGAGTCATTTCTTAGGATTACATTTTCCCACAGGACAACAACAGCTTCAACAAAACTATTCCCCTCAAAGAGAAAACCAAACATGCCCTGTTGTCTCAAGAAACAAAGTGCAGAAGGAAACATGTAAACTCAGTGTGCTGCTCTGTGATGCTAGTTCAAGCAGACACTTGGCATCTCATCGTGGGTGCAAGGTCATCAATGTTTGGGGTCAGGCTCTGAGCGGAGGAGACCCTCAGGATGGAGTGAAGGTGTGAGAGCAATATACCGGCAGGCCAGATCTAATAGTAATTAGAAATTATCCTGCGGGCCGAAATTAAATCCAACAAGGGCCTGATTTGGCCCCCGGGCCTTGAGTTTGACACATGTGCTGTAAATGGTCTGCAAAGGCTACAATCCCAAAGTTCCCTTCAGAGGGAGCTTCTCCCACAGAGAGGGAGCAGTAAGCACACAACTGGATAAATGAAACTCGGATTATACTGAATGAGACGCGTAATTTCACAGAATGTTTTAATAAACCCAGCCACCATTTACTTCAGTTCATTAAGACTTTCCTGTGTTTTGATTCCTCATTTAGCGTGAAGGCATGCGAGGAAAGCAATGTCTTCAAGAATTTAAGGTAACTTCAAGTAAATAATTCATATAAAAAGTAGGTAAAATGTTTTTTCTTTGAAAGAAAATCGGACCGTATAAATGATTGCACATTCAGTCCCTGTGGCAGTGTATTGTTTTATTTAACAACTAGAGGGCGCCAGATCTGAAATATAAAAATTCTACACATGGAGGCCTTTCGAGTTAAACATACACAACTTTCTGTGTTATTTTAAGAAGCGGACTGCAGAGGGAAACAGTTTGATGTATTTACAAAATTAAATCCATACCTGTGTTGACTTGTCGTATCAGAAATAGGAACGGCCGGTCCGCTTTGAAGACAGGAGCACGGGATCTCTTGAGAAGCACCATAGCTGCAAGGAGAAGAAATGAAAATAACGCACCATCCCATAACCTAATCTGTTAAAAAGGTATGGTTACAGGGGAATAGAATCGTGTTAAGACGACATTTCTGTCTCATTATTTTTGCAGGGATTTTCTCACCTGTAGCTGCAGCTGCCTTCGTCCCGTCTTCTGTGACTTCAATCCTCACCTCATGGAAAGCATCAGAAACATAAAGACTTTCCTCCGCTGCAGGAAGAAAAAACAAGCGGTCAGTATTTCCTGTGACCTGAGTACATTTTGAGGTATTTGCTACATGTTGCTGCCAATACGAGTCATTTACTAGTAGGGTTTTTTCATGCCGTACTTTTCCTTTGAGTACATGAGTTGATGTACTGACCTGATATTTCAGAGAAGTCCGCTGCTGTCGGGTTGAAGGCGTCGCTGATGCCCATGGCGGGAAGAACCGACCTCAGGTTGAACTTGTTCTGCATCCTGAACCTGAGAACACCAGACAGAAACATTTAAATACATCTGAATGTTAAAAGGGAGAAGTATAACCATCCTTTACTTCATTAAAAGCACTTATATCACACTCAAAACATACTCTTTAGAATTCCTGCATTCAAAATGTTACTCAAGAAAACTAAGTGTGTATCGTCAGCAACATTAAATGTACCCAATGCAGAACAATCTAAAATAAATAATAAACAAGACCAAAAAAATCTATAAAATGACCTTCATATTTATAAATGCCATTACACTTTTTGTATTGGCTTACCACTGCTGGTAAAATACTTAATTGAATTGTAGCCTAGATAAGATAATATAAGATGAGAAGTACTTTATTGATCCCAATTTGGGAAATGTTTGTGTTGCAGCAGCATAAAGAGACATGATGTTGTACAATACAAATTAAAAGACAATAAATAAACAAGAAAGTAGAAAATATACATGTTGAATTTACAAATGAACAATAACAAGATATAAAGCTAGGTATTATATATACGTAAGTATGTGACAGATAGAAGATAGATTGAGTGTGAGGCTAAAACTCATGTGTATCAGGGTGCATGATCCGAACCTGGGGAGGAAGACGTCCATCTTGGTTCTGCGCAGGCCAGTTTCCCATGATGCAAGCTGCCGGGCGGTGAGCTGCGACTCGATGCAGGACAGAGGGGTCTTCCTCTCGCTCGGCAGCGCCACCTGCAGGCTGAGCGAGCGGCCCAGGTACGGCAGCTCCAGCACGGTGTAGCGGTGATCTGAGGCCGTCCTGAACTGACCTGAGGGAGGGGGACACACACCTTCAGGTTTATCACTCTCTACCTAATAAATAGCCCAAAATCCAAAGATATGACAAATACAATGATATCAAAAGAGAACGATATCTTAATACACATCTGTTTACTGGGAATTTACTTTAACGGTCCCCTATTATACTGTTTTACATCAATATCTTATAGGTCTCAGATATATACAAAACATGTCTGTGAAGTGTCTGGCTCCAAACACCAAACAGATCATTGCAGCATTACCCATAATCCCCTCTGTTTCAGCCCTGTTTCAAAAGTGCTGATTCTCTGTCTGTTACTTTAGATGAAAATAAGGAGCCCCTCCCCACGCCCCTCTGAGAGAGATTTGGTTACAAAGAACACAATGGTGCTCTAGGAGGAGATTCAGGTGATAAGGTGGGGGGGAGTTACCTTGGTTGCTGATTGGCTAATGGTTACACAAGACAAAACATCTTGATGACATCATAAAGTGGCCAAAATCTGGTCAGCTCATTTTCAGACAGGTTTTTATAGAAATGGATCAGGACAAAAAGAGAGAGAATCTTTGTTCCTGAAACTTTCAGAGTCTCTTTTCACAGAGGGGACACATGTTGATGTAGAAGAGACATGAAGAAGAGGGGACACATGTTGATGTAGAAGAGACATGAAGAAGAGGGGACACATGTTGATGTAGAAGAGACATGAAGAAGAGGGGACACATGTTGATGTAGAAGAGACATGAAGAAGAGGGGACACATGTTGATGTAGAAGAGACATGAAGAAGAGGGGACACATGTTGATGTAGAAGAGAAATGGAGAAGAGGGGACACATGTTGATGTAGAAGAGACATGAAGAAGAGGACACATGTTGATGTAGAAGAGACCTGAAGAAGAGGGGACACATGTTGATGTAGAAGAGACATGAAGAAGAGGGGACACATGTTGATGTAGAAGAGACATGAAGAAGTGGATTTTGCACAATAGGTGACCTTTAAGACAACAGTTGTGTTGATGTTAAATGACAGAGAAAAAGGAAATATGTCCTCCTCTTTTAATGGATTGATTCTTACCGAAGCTGACCTCTGTGGCCTGGTACATCATGGGCACTTTGATGACGCTGCCGTCAGGGAGGGTGAAGGGCAGGTTCTGAGTGTTGGTGAACAGAAACTGTTTCTGCCAGACGCCCCTGAACGCCACGGTGTTCACGAGGGCCATCTGCAGCCGGTGGCCCCACCACAGAGCCTCCGCCTGGGCCTCGCCGGACCCCGACAGCTCCCCGCTGCTGCTGCCCGACTGGAGGGGCTCGTCTGGAGGGAGCAACGGAAGAACAACCTTAATGTGAAGGTTTGTAGCTTTCAACGCATCTCTAAGAAGCTAGAAGTCCCCTGGTTGTTGGATAAGGCTTTGGGAGTAACTTATTACATTGACATTACATTTCTGAAAATCAGGGATTACAATCTTATTGGCAGTATAAAAAAAACAGCATATTTTGTTTCTGTCCCCTTCCCCACATGTTTCTCATAGTGTCATAAAATGTTAAAAGAAGAAGCTGAACAAAAGCTTTGTTTATGGCAGTGGTTCTCAAACTTTTTCTGTCAGGCCCCCCTTTGGAGAAAAAAAAAAGTCGGGCCCCCCCAACACAAATAGTCAGGCTCAGTGGCGGCGCCAGAGATTTATTTTCCGGGTGCTGTGGGGTAGCTTGACGTTTCATAGAGGGTGCTCAAACATTTAGGGTTTCCCATTAATGTACCGGTCGCTACAGTGGAATGTTCTACTGCAACACTCCCCACGCAAATACACAGTGTACCCGCGACTGTTACAATGAAGGCTCGATAATCAGCTCACGGCATATAGGTGTAAGCACAGCAGGGGTGCTATTTTTATAGGTGGTGTGTGGACCTCACATAGGGGGGTCCGGGGGCATGCTCCCCCGGGAAGATTTATTTTTAAATATTGAAGTTAAAAGCATCAATCTGGTGCACTTTGAGAGCAACATGAAGAGATCTATGGATACATCTCTCAACACCCATTTGAAACAGAACTGTAAACAGATTTACTTTTTCTTTATGGATATTTTACAAATCACTCCCCTTTTAAACTGTATTCTTGTTTTACTGTCATATAGTATTTCATAGCTGTTTTTCATTTATTCTCTTATTTTTTTATAACTATAATGATCATATAAATGTGTGCCTCGGAAATAATTGTTTACATTAATGGTGACCCAAACGTTTGAGACCCACTGAGATAACACTGAGAGAGTCCTTTAGTCTCTCAGTCTGACAGGAGAGGACTCTCCTCCACCTTGTTGTTGAAACAACTCCTTATATCCGTTAGCGTAGCTCGATAGCACCAGAAGCTAACAACAACGATCTCCGGTACCAGTGCACTCTCTCTCTCTCTCTCTCTCTCTCTCTCTCTCTCTCACACACACACACACACACACACACACACACACACACACACACACACACACACACACACACACACACACACACACACACACACACACACACACACACACACACACACACAAACTGTTTTTATGAAGCTAGTTTTCTTACCGTGGTTGTTCCCCGCTCTCTCCTGCTGCCTGGGGTTGGGCTGGCTGAAGTTGGCCCTCACCACGCTGGTGTTAGCCCACACAGCTGCATGTTTAGTGAACTCAGAGAGGAGCTGGACGCCGCTCTGTACGAACAGCGTGCAGGTCTGCTGCAGCCAGATCCCCTGGCTGTTGTTCCTCATGTCGCTGTGCGAATGCAACAGGAAGTTTTGAACAGTGGCATCTGCAGGAAGAGAAGAGAACAGGTCAGACGTGGGGTTTCACTACAAGCTGTAGGACATTCATGAGAAGGGGTCAGGTTCATATTTGTATTTTGTTCCTCTATTGGGACATGTCTCCATGCTTTAATGTTCAAAAAGCTCTTTGTTTCCCTCACACTGCCTGTGCTGCAGCACCTCTTTTCACCCTCTGTCTGAAACCAGAGCCCAGTCTGCTCTGATTGGTTAGCTGGCCGGCTCAGTTGGGTTTGGTCAACCTGCTTAGAGATGTCCCGCCAATTAGCCTATCGTACAATGTGTTGGAGCTCCAGCAAATAGAAGTGAGAGTGTTACCTAGTGATGTCACTATGTTACGGAAGTAAACAAAGCAGTCCAAAGGAGGCGTTTCTTTCTACAGGGCCACTTCTCTATATTAAAAGCTTTCTGTACAAGAATGGCTCTTGTGCAACAGAGCTGCAAACCACTCAAGTACTGCAAACTCTTAAGAAGTGGTTGTATATAGCAATCATCTGCTTTGATCAATTGATAATTTAAAGAAATATAATTCACACCACTTCAGAAAATAACTCCAAAACTGATTTTCTGCAACTGAATTCGCAGCATTTCACTGCAGGATTATGCAAAAACTAATTATGATGCCCATCATCATCATCATCCCTGGATATCTGATATCACATCATGAAGGTAAAACAAACAGCAGCTCCAACTCTCATTCTGTTAGTAATGAAACGCGCTGACCTCTCGCCCGCGGGCCGAGCTGCAGGACTAGTTTAATGAGATTAGAGTTGGTGTGGAGGCAGGTATTATGGCTCCAGACACCACTGTGCTCTGAGGCAGCAGCAGCAGCAGCACCGCTCCACACCTCCTGGTACCAACAGCACTGAGGTCCACTAACAACCTCACTGCTCCCACTAACTCCACCTTCATCTGCATATGCAAAATCTGTGATGCTCCGTGTTGGGAAAATACTGAATGTCCTCTTCCAACATGAGAGTAGCATGATAACAAAGGTATCCCAACTGCAGCTGTGTTCATGACAGGATGTGTGATTACCTAGAAGAGCATCAGGACTGTTTGAGGCATATGATAGCTATGTGATTAACATGATGATTCAGCCTCTATGGAGAGAGACATCAAGCATGCTCATTTCTGACGTGGAGCTAATCTGAACTAAACATTGAATACTGCTTTCTATTCCTCCATCTTGTGACTGTGTAACTCCCTCTCTTGGATATCAGCATGTGAAGGACACTGCTCAGGAACTAGTTGATGCTCTGTATGTGATGACTACTTCCATTCTGGAGAGGATCAGAAATACATGGATCCTGAGATTGAAAATCTAGCCGAGTGATATTTTTCTAACACTCCGTACCCTTCACACTGTATCCGAGGGCCCCCTCCAGCTGAGCCAGGGTGTTCCCCCGGGCCCCGAGCTGCAGCAGCCCCAGAGACAGGGACACGCTCACTGGAGACACGATGAGGTTGGAGATGTTCTCCGTCTCGGTGAGCGTCTGGTAGAGGCTGACGGAGAAGCGGTTGTGCAGCTCTCCCATGCCGTCCTGAAGGCTGCTGCTGCACCGGCTCCTCTCCACCAACCAGAAGCAAATGACGAGGGAAGCCAGCAGCGGGCGACACATGTCCTCAGAGCTGCAGGAGGGAAGGAGGGGGGGGGGCTGCAACAAGGGGCCGAAAAACGTAAGCCTGCAGGACAAAAAGAAGGGCAATAAGTACTGAGGTCAGGGAGGTCAAGCAGCAGGCAAATACCAACTCTCAGTAGTGTGATGATATTGTGGTATCACTTTACAAATGAATGCTTGTTTAATGTATTGCATCACTATTATGAGAAACTTTGACTGAGGTTAACCTTTATTAACTTCTGATGTCCTTTTTAACCTTGTTTTATACGTATCTTGTTACTCTTACTTAAGTAAATGATCTAAATACTTCTTACTGAGCTGCATAAGTAATGGAAAATATAGTAATCAGTAGCCTATACTAATCATTGATAGATTAAAGGGCCTACAGTGAGCCCACATTTCCAAGTTGCCATCAACTGCAATATATCCCCAGAACTAGTCAGGTCGACTAGCGACTCAAAACTACCAAACATAATGCAAAATGACCACAAAGAGACATAACATTACCAAACAAGACTCAAAATGACCATAAAGATGCAAAATATTACCAAAAAGGACCCTACAATTTGCAGAGAACCAAAAAACAACAGTAAAAGCATGCAATTGAGCACAAAAATATACAGAATAAAAGCCTCAAAATGACCACACAATGGCACAAAACAGCATAAAAATAGACTACCCTAAACCCTAAAGGACTCAAACGTGACTACAGAGAAACTAAACATTACCAAAAATAGGCTCAAAATAGCCAATAAAAGATCAAAAAACACTGTGGCATGCTCTTATGGATAGAAGGGGTAGTCTCCCATTACGTTAGGTCCACCTTAGGTTAATTTAATGCACAATTGAGAGATCATTGTTCCTCCTTAGGAGAAATAGAACCGTGATGATTTCCCGTTGGGGTCTCAGCTAAGTCAAAACACAGACAGGTGCGGTTCCTACCTGCGCACAGAGTAATATCCAGGTAACTCCAGCTGTTCTTATGCAGCCTCAGCAGGTGTGTCCTGTGTTTCCCCGCTGTCAGTCCCTGTCCCCGGTCAGTGAAACGGTCCTCAGTGGTCCCCGGCTCTCCGTCTCTCTGCTGGTCCCCTCTCTGTGAGGCTGTAGTCATAAGACCGTGTTTAAAGGGGAACCGTGTTTGCGGTCTCCGTCGGCGATGTCCGTACCACTCGTCCTGGTTCCTGCTCCCCGGGGCTATAAGGAGCCAGGCGGAGGGAGGCAGGTCACTGAGCAGCAAATCCCAACCGAGCAGAGGGAGGAAGGACACAACTCCCACTCAGGACAGCACAGCACGCATGAGTGGAAGTTTCTGATATTTTAATTATAGCGTGGAAACTGTTCATTCCAGATAGGAGCAAATTCCCGCCAAGAATAAAGTCAGGTGTGTGGAGTTAAAGTGGAGTTCATCAAGATATCTGTGTTTGGAAAACCTCAAATTTTTATATCAGTCAGACAATCAATTCAGTTGATTCTCTGTCAGTCACTTCCGTTGTTTTGGGAACTGATGCTGGAGAAATATTTATTTTATTAAAACTTTGTCAGCAGGACAAAAACTATTCAAATCATCGATCAAGTAAAAAAATAATCTGTTTTTTTGGATATCACTGAATGGTATTGACAGTATTTTGTGTACCTTTAAGGGAATGGGTTTTGGAACAATTCCCAGAATGCAGGTGACACAACACATCTAGAAAAACGATGAAAACTGAGGCAGTCAACTCCATTTTAAATAAATGGGGTAATTGTGATATCTTATCGCATCAAACTATCAATATAACATCGGTTGCATTTTCATTTTGTTTTCGTTTAGGGGCTACAAAATCATTTTGCAAAAGATAGGAAAAACTTTTAAAATCTTTAAAACACCAACACACACACAGAGAGAGAAAGAGGAAGACATCCTTTCAAGTCATGTGTCCTTTTGTGTCGATGATCAAAGACATTTCTGCCCAGAGCCTCAAACTGCTGCGTCAGCATTTATAATTGGTATCACTCTGAGGAATGTGGACATCAGAAAGCATTTCATCAACAGATCATGGGCTGCAGCATTTATTGTTGACGTTTACAAAAACAACAATATTAGAACAATAAAGATTATGTACAATTTAGCAGCTAACTCAAATATGGATTATGTTGAAATAAATCCTTGTGACTGTTTCCTATAGGGCAAGCAAATTAAAACGTATTTCCTTAACATTTTCCAGGTGTTTTTATTATGCTTCTATAGCTAGCAGATATAGATGATAACAAAGCACAAAGACAATATTTTGGGACTGTTTATTCACTTCAGGTTGGGGGGAAATGTGTGTCTGGAGCCCAACCTCAGACACACCTGTTGAGTGTGCAGATTATCTTTTATTAGCTCTTTATTTTGCAGAAAGAGAATGCAGTATATTGGAAAAAATATAAAGACTGATTTGAAGTAAATGCCCTGTATTTCACCTAAAACCAATGCTGCTACAGTGATCTCCCCTCAACTGTCCCTCTTAATTGGGGACATGGCAGTCGGCAAAATAAATCGTGAGCATTTTTTCCCATGAAGAAGAGAACACGATTGGTAGCCATCAGGTATTTGGCTGCTTTTGTCCAAAGGGGGATTCCAGCCATTACTGGACTTGACTAATTAGTGCAGCCCTGGCTCGGCTTCATTAAACGGAGTCGCCACATTCTTTTAAACAACTCCGGACACAGGAATTTGGGTTTTTAAGGACTGGGATGGAGGAGATGAGAAGTCACGGTAACTGACCAAAGACAATCAAACAGCAGCTTTCATCTTGGTCGGCTGGGAGGCCTTTGAAGGAAGGCTCATGGTTGTGAAGAAGAAATAATGATTTGTGCTCTCTGTGGCTGATTCCTGGATCGAGTGCAAAGCAAGCTGCCGAGGCTGAGGGGTCAGGATGGAGGCCTCTGCACATCAAAGATCATCCTCTTTCCCTTTGAGCTGCCAGTTTGTGCCGCAGTTTGATCAGCTGCTACAGCCAGGACAAGATGACCTGAAAATGATGAGGAAGAAACTGCTGTAGTATATCATAGAGCTGCTCTGCCAAGTCAAGCCTCTAGTCTTTATAAGTAAGTGCACAAAACAAATTCCAAATCCAAATTCCATTTCAAAATTCAGTTATAAATTCCAATTCCGATTCCAATTCCATTGCCAATTTCAAATTCCATCCATCCATCCATCTTCTCCCGCTTATCCGTGGTCGGGTCGCGGGGGTAGCAGTTCCAGCAGAGAGCCCCAAACTTTATTTTCCCTGGCGACATCAATCAGCTCTGACTGGGGGATCCCAAGGCGCTCCCAGGCCAGCGAAGAGATATAATCCCTCCACCTGGTCCTAGGTCTACCCCTTGGTCTCTTCCCAGCTGGACGTGCCTGGAACACCTCCCTAGGGAGGCGCCCAGGTGGCATCCTAACTAGGTGCCCGAACCACCTCAACTGGCTCCTTTCGACGCGAAGGAGGAGCGGCTCAACTCTGAGTCCCTCCCTGATGACCGAACTTCTCACCTTATCCCTAAGGGAGACACCAGCCACCCTGCGGAGAATACCCATCTCGGCCGCTTGTATCCGCAATCTCGTTCTTTCGGTCATGACCCATCCTTCATGACCATAGGTGAGGGTAGGAACGAAAATGGCCCGGTAGACAGAGAGCTTTGCCTTCTGGCTCAGCTCCCTTTTCGTCACAACGGTGCGGTAAAGCAACTGCAGTACCGCTCCCGCTGCTCCGATTCTCCGGCCCATCTCACGCTCCATTGTTCCCTCACTCGAGAACAAGACCCCGAGATACTTGAACTCCTTCACTTGGGGTAAGGACTCATTCCCTACTTGGAGTGGACAGTCCATCGGTTTCCTGCTGGGAACCATGGCCTCAGATTTGGAGATGCTGATCCTCATCCCAGCCGCTTCACACTCGGTTGCGAACCGATCCAGTGAGTGCTGAAGGTCGCAGACCGATGAAGCCATTAGAACCACATCATCTGCAAAAAGCAGTGGTGCAATCCTTAGTCCACCGAACTGCAGACCCCCTCCCCCATGACTACGCCTCGAAATCCGATCCATGTATATTACAAACAGGATTGGTGACAAAGCGCAGCCCTGGTGGAGTTGTTTGACGACCTCAGTGACCTCCCCCCGGGAGATTGGTGTTGATCCCCTGTCATACTCCAGCTCTGCCTCTAACATAGAGGGCGGAGTTGTCGGGTTCAGGAGTTCCTCAAAGTGTTCCTTCCAACGCCCTAACACTCCATCAGTTGAGGTCAACAACGTCCCATCCTTACTGTACACAGCTTGGATGGTTCCCTGCTTCCCCCTCCTGAGGTGTCGGACAGTTTTCCAGAACAACTTTGGTGCCGCCCGAAAGTCCTTCTCCATGTCTTCTCCGAACTTCTCCCACACCCGCTGCTTTGCCTCGGCCACGGATGAGGCTGCTGCCCTTCGGGCCTGTCGGTACCTTGCAACTGCCTCGGGAGTCCCCCGGGATAACAAATCCCTGAAGGCCTCCTTCTTCAGTCGGACGGCTTCCCTGACCACCGGTGTCCACCAGGAGGTTTGAGGGTTACCGCCCCTTGAGGCACCTAAGACCTTGAGACCACAGCTCCCCGCCGCGGCTTCGGCAATAGAGGCTTTGAACACCGACCACTCTGGTTCAATGTCCCCAACCTCCACAGGAATGCCCGAAAAGCTCCGCCGGAGGTGTGAGTTGAAGGCCTCCTGAACTTGGGCCTCCTCCAGACGTTCCCAGTTCACCCGAACTACACGTTTGGGCTTACCAGGTCTATCCAGACGCTTCCCCCGCCACTCGACCCAACTCACCACCAGATGGTGATCAGTTGACAACTCCGCCCCTCTCTTTACCCGAGTGTCCAAAACATACGGCCTCAGGTCCGATGATACGATAACGAAATCGATCATGGACCTTCTGCCTAGGGTGCTCTGGTACCACGTACACTTATGAGCATCCTTATGTTCGAACATGGTGTTTGTTATGGCCAATCCATGACTAGCACAGAAGTCCAGTAACAAACCACCACTCTGGTTCAGATCAGGGGGGCCGTTCCTCCCAATCACGCCCCTCCAAGTGTCTCCATCATTGCCCACATGTGCGTTGAAGTCTCCCAGCAAGATTAAAGAGTCCCCTTCAGGAGCCCCATACAGGACTCTTTCCAGGGTCTCCAAGAAGGCCGTATACTCTGAACTGCTGTTGGGTGCATAAGCACACACAACAGTCAGAGTTTTCCCCCCCATAACCCGCAGGCGTAGGGAGGCGACCCTCTCGTCCACTGGGGTAAACTCCAACAACGAAGCACCTAACCGGGGACTTGTGAGTATCCCCACACCCGCCCGGCGCCTCACACCTTGAGCAACTCCGGAGAAGAATAGAGTCCAACCCCTATCCAGAAGTAAGGTTCCAGAGCCGATGCTGTGCGTAGAGGTGAGCCCAACCAGATCCGGATCCTTCCCCCCCAGAGAGGTGACGTTCCACGTCCCAAAAGCCAGCTTCTGTCGCCCGGGTCTGGTCCGTCGAGACCCTCCGCTTTCACTGCCACCCTTCTGGCAGCGCACCCGACCCCATCGCTGTTTCCCGTAGGTGGTGGGCCCGCGGGACGGAGAAGCGGAGGTGTTGCCCACGTTGCCTTTTCGGGCTGGGCCCGGCCGGGCTCCGTGGCAAGCCCGGCCACCAGACGCTCGCCGACGAGTCCTCCTTCTGGGCCTGGCTCCAGAAGGGGACCCCGGGCTTCCTCCGGGCCGGGTATCCTCACTTCTTGTATCGCCTTTCATGAGGTCTTTTGAACCAATCTTAGTCTGGCGCCTTGCCTGAGACCAATTTGCCATGGGAGACCCTACCAGGAACACAAGGTTCCAGACAACACAGCCCCCAGGTTCATCAGGGCACACGAAATTTCAAATTCCATTTCCCAATTCCAAATCCAAATTCCATTTCAAAATTCAATTTTAAATTCCAATTGTAAATTTAAAATGAAAAAATTCTGAATTCAACATCCTTTTGTAAACAGTATGATATATTAAGGTCCTGCTAAGTGAGATAAATACAAATAAATAATAAATAAATCTTATGACTTTAACAATAATGTGACCTACCAGCATTCACAGTTAAATCAAACATTGTAGGCGTGAGAAAAAGCGGATATTTCACAACTGTTTGGGTCAGGAGTTAATCGAG